AATTTATGTGATGGATGTTTTTGCCAAGTATCCCCAATAATAATTTATTCAATCATTGCATCTTTATGGACAGAATCCATCTGGCATATATTAGCTGTTGACCAGTCTTTTAAACCTCAGGAAATCCTTTGATTCTTGTGTGAAAAAGGTATATAATAATTTTTTAAATTCTATTCTATGTTTGTTTATAATGAAAACTGTTTTTTAGTGCCAATTTCCCATTTTTTTAATTGTATGCTGATGTCCATTTGGTTTGTTGTCTCATGATATAATTTTTCCTTCATTTCAAAATATTCTCTCAGTAAAATCCAAAACAACGGTCAAAGCAATTCCTAATCATGTACAATATTTGAAATGTGCAATATTAGATATTTAGAATATTTCATATGTACAATATTTCTCACATATTATGAATCCAAACAGCTTTCATATTACCCCTTTAATCATATTTCCAATAATGTAACCAGTCGCACAGGACTGACTTGTCGGTTGATCGGACCTCAAGGCAGTCACTGGACGATGCCAATGTGCACATCCTTGTGACCTATCCTAGTTTAATTGTACTTCAAATAACGTATGGATTGGTGTGGGCAAACATCCTAAATAATAGATGAGGTGCACCATCCCTGGTATAATGCCAAAGCTGAAGTTCAGTCCCGATCTGTTTATTCAGAACTCTGTGATTGTATGTAATGCATTGAAATAACCTTTAATTTGTAGAGTGTAGAGTATAGCATGCCTCGTAATACATCTTTTTGAGAGTCCAAAGAGTATCCTACACACAGAGTTAACACCCTTCTGGCTCTTGAAGGGTTAATAATTAAAATGTGAATTGCGGAGATGTTGAATTATTATTTGATGGGACATTTTAAGGTTATAACATACTGTTACATCATAATGGTTTGAATGCAGTTTATGGGGAGAATTTATTATGTGTGATAGGTAATAGGTACAATATGGGTAAGATGTCCTGATCTGCACATGCTTATTTTCAGAGTTTTTGGAATGATTTATGAAAATGCGAATATGTGATATTTTTTATGATCAAATTCCATTTGAATTAATCACCCAATTTAAAATAGTTGTCAAACATAGTCATTAATTATATTTCTTTTCTTTAAAAATAATCTTGTTAACTCTTTCAAGTTTCAGTGCTGTCTAGCAGTTTTAACTGTCCAGATAGTGAATGCTTTATTTTAGGATAAAGAGACAAAAGATAAAGAACTGTTTGTCTACCCTTTGAAAAATTTAAAAGGGTCCAGCAATTCTGAAGTCCAAGAATGGAACACTGTTTTCTCAAGAAAAAAGGACAGTAAAAAACAAACATGGTGAAGAAATGCAATCATAAAATCGTGGTTTATGATAACATATTTGTTAATTGGATCTCACTTTAGGGAATATAAGCTCACCGACATAGGCTTGCTTTTAGTATGTCTATTAATGTAATGGGTCTTACGCATCATTGGGATTTTATAATGAGATATTTGATAAATGCCCATGAAAATAGTAGAAAGCTTGAAATCACATTATTGACGCATCGTGGGAGATGAAAGGAAATGCGAATGAAAATACATTATCATTCAGAAGGAAATGAAACCATTAAAGGTAACTTTTTAGTATCCATATTTGACGAAATCGACAAAAAAGAAAAACAGTAAGCTTGCTATTATTTGGAAAGCAAGGTAACCGATCGAGATTAAGAAATCTGATTAATTTTGCCACTAAACAAATTTCTTTACCATTTTGCTCAAATTAGTTTATTTTCAACCAATTTTATTAAAGATTTGCCCATTATTCCATATTAGGTTTTACTTGAAAATGTGTGAATGTACATTTAAAGGGGAAATCCACCCTTAAATTAATTTAATAAAAAACAGTAAAATGAAAAGATATTTGAATTAAATATCCAATGAAAAAACAACAACTGATGATTAAAACAAAACAAACATTCTGCCCTCGAACTTTCACTGATCTGTATCTCTTATTTTTTGTGTTATGATTAACACCAACTTTGATATCTGAGGGCGTGCCTGGTCTTCCCCTTAAATTTGTGATCTGATTCCCTCATACTTTTCCGACCGGTATGCATCCCATTGTGAAACTTGGAAGTGCGTTATGTATACTTTCCTGTAAAGGTGACATTTAGGGAATTCTAGTTCATTGGCCAAGGAATGTGTGTAGCATGTTCAGACTATGGTAAATTTGTACAAAACTGTATTAAGAAACGTTTGAAGAATCATCATGTAGTGTATACATGTGCAACAAATATATAAAAACATCATGTACACAAACTACTGTAGTTGTGAAGAGGTTATCCCCATCCAGTTATTAGGTTTCCGTACAGTATGGCATTCACACTAGATGTGGGCCCTCGCTCTTTTTCAAGTTTTATACGCAACAATGCTCAAAACTTAGTTTCGCTGTTCAACGTTTCATAATGCAGCATTTGTAACACTATGGTAAAGCCATACTGTTTTGTATAGTTATACAATAAATTCTGTTAGTCTAAGGGCGCGTTCATGCTTGATTTTGAAGGCAGAATGAGCGATTTGTAACGCTCATCGTAAACGCTCATCGTAATCACAGTTCCACGGTGCACTGTTCATGCTCACTTCTCCAGGCAATTCTCCTTGGGTGGCCTTCAGCTGGATTCGCAAACCTGTGTGCGCATGCTACGTAGACCCACTAGAGGTCAGTGCGTTGACCCCATTTAAACGCGTTTACAAATTGTAAACGCATCTTTTTGTGAGTTTACGATCGGCGATCGTGATCGCCGTTTTTCGGTGATTCTACAAAAGTGAGCATGAACGCAGTCGTGTTTTAAACTAATCGCGTAACAGATGCCTGATTCTGGCTGTCAAAATCAAGCATGAACGCGCCCTAAATGAGGGGTAAGATTGGATGGTTCAATCATTGGGCCAGTCATAAATGACTCAATCGTCTGGTTTAAGCAGTTTTGGGTGCGAATCGGGGTGAAATAGAGCTCAGATAGTAGTTGCATATTGATCTAAGTGAACTTTTGGGGACTTAATTTTGCAAAGAATTATGATCCAAATGAAGCGAAAGTTCAGGTAGTCCTCATTCAGTAGCGTAATGTGGTTTCAGAGTATTCAGACACTTTAATTGAGAAAGGGGGGGGGGGGTGTGGGTGGGGATCCAATCTCGCATTGTGGATGAAATGCAGTTTAACATGCTTCTCTCCCCCCCCCCCATTACAATTGTTCTCAATCAACTTAAAACTTACAATCTCCTATGCTTATGCACACAGTTGCAATCAATATTATTTTCTTTCAGCTATGATAGATTCACATCAGAGGAATTCTATTGATATCAGAAAGTGAAATACAGGTACTTTAGAGCATTCTACTCTTCAATCTTAGAATAAAACAAGTAATACTTATAATGATTTCAATTTCCCAGATGAAACAATATTTTCTCTTTATGGTGAAATTTTGAATGAATGACAGATGAAAAATGAAAATTTCAGTGCTGTTTTTAAAAGTTTGGATCAATGTAAATCAATAAGCTCACGTAAATGAGAGAATTCAGTCGTCAACATGTAAAATACAATGCCTGAAATTTGAAGAAAAAAATGTTTCTGAGAAATGTTTTTACAGTAAGCATTTTACAAAAATATCAATTTTTATCATGTTCGTACCTGCCTGATCCTTTCAACCATCTTTCCTCCTCTCTGTTGTTTTTCTTGAGATTCTTTTTGTGTTTACATATTGGATTTCCGTCTAAATGGACTTGTTGAGGCTAGAGGGAAGTGGTAGAGTTCTCTCATATCCTGTACCAAAGTGCCTCGAAACAAGAGACAAAAGGTCATATCAGTTCCATTAGAGGGTAAGATGAGATACTCTCATTCATACCTTACAAGCAAGGAAGACAAAGATATGGTAGCTTTGAATTACATTGAAAATTGAAATTTGTAATTAAAATATTGACAGATTATTGTAAAGCAATAGATCTTACGGAAAAAAGAAAATTGGCATTACCTAACTCTTCTAGTGCTTATCACATGACCAACAAGAGCAATAAATAACTAATTAAAAAAAAATAAAATCAGTTCATGTAGACAACAAGTTTGATAGTGAAAGAGAGAGAGAAAGACAGATAAACAGTCAGAAAATGAGAGTAGAGTTATGGGCTCCTTCATGATTTACCACAATTAGGAAGATAATTTAATAAAAGTATCCAGAGATTTGTATCCCTATGAAAATGCACTTTATAAGTTCAACTTGTAATTATTGTACAATGACTTCCAACAATATCAACCTATTAGAATGACATCTAGACATTTCACATCAGAATGCAATTTAGTCACCTCAAATAACCTTTTAGATGACTGCTTTCGATGTAACATGCTTGTATGATGGGAAAAAACATTGTTTATTTAGTACTGCTTGGTTGGTGCTGAAAAAGGGCACCCAAATGCATCGATATGTGATGGAACTATCAGAATTGGGCTGGATCCGATGGGGAATCAATTGAAATCTTTGATACCTCTCCATTGGAGTACTAGATAGACAAATAATTAAATGGGGAATAAAATCCCCAAATTAATTTGAGTTTGGATAGAATTTATGATGGACAGATGCATAATGTATAAAGAAAAAGGGAGGGGTGGATGGAGTGACAAGGAGAGAGAGAGAGAGAGAGAGAGAGAGAGAGAGAAAGAGAAAAGAGACAGCGAATGTCATGAACTGAACATGTAGACGGATGTGTTGAGAACATACTTGAGCAGGAAGTATGACAGGCATGAAACCAGCTCATGTTGATACCAATCGATACCAACAACCTACTAAACTCATTATGAGAGATTAAGAGAAAGAGAGGGGAAGGGGGAGAAGAGAGGGATATATAGAGAGAGAGAGAGAGAGAGAGAGAGAGAGAGAGAGGAAAAGAGGGATAGAGAGAGAGAGAGAGAGAGAGAGAGGAAAAGAGGGATAGAAAGAGAGATGAGGACAGAGAAAGAGACAGATAGACTGACTGAAAGAGAGAGAGAGAGAGAGAGAGAGAGAGAGAGAGAGCGCATGTAAGATTTAAAGAGGAAATAAAAGACAAATTACAAACAGTAATGGAAGAGTAATAAGAGTATTAACCTGCATGGTGTGAAAGTACATGTACATGTAAATGAATGAACACCCTTCGTGCACCAAACAGATAGAACAGAGAAAACAAAGGACAGAAAGGAGCTCAGCAGTTCAAGGAGGAATAGAAGGAGGTGGAGGAAATAAATAGAGAACAGTGAGAGAGAATGAGCTGGAGAGAGAGAGAGAGAGAGAGGGAGAGAAAGAAAGACAAAAACATAGAGGGTACATGGTATACAGGTGAAATATGTACTAATATAATAAAACAAACAGATCACTTTTGTATCAGAAAATTGCTATCAGTATTGAAAATTAAATCTAAATTAGGTAATTAGAAGAGAAGGGAAGAGAAAGGAGAGAGAAAGATAACAAGAAAAAAAAGTTTGTCACTAGGGTTATAGCGACAAGTAGAACTAAATGGGGAAGAACAAATCATGCAAAACATTATCCATAATCACACACACAGACAGGCTCTTTTACAGGAAATGAGGCAGAGCAAAGACAGCTATCTATTGTTTATGAAAAGCTTCTAAAACCAGTCAAGGAACGTTTACTCGCCATTCGGTCGGCTATTCACGTACCGGGTGAAATATATCAAACCATCTGTAGCAAAGCATCAATTAACTATGAATTAATAGGACAATGCTGGGAGCTGCGGTGTCGTTAGGCTCTACGCCGCCCATCATGGGGCTGAGCATCCTGAAACGCAAGAAGGTAATCCTCTCAATTCTTGCCTTTTCTCTCTCTAACGGTGAAGTGGTTGTCAATGCCCCGTAACGTTGGATGATATCACAATCAGAATTGGTTTCAGATCTTGTAGTTTGTTTTGAGTGGTTAATTTCAAGCCCCTCTTAAATATGCGAGTGTGATAGCTTGATGAAGAATCTCAGTGTTATGATAAAAGTGTATTGCAAGTTTCAAACCATTTGTCAGTCACTTTACATTCATTTATAGTCCGATTAAAGTCCTTCCTGATTTGTTTAAACCATATATGTATAGCCAAAGTGTTGAACTCAACATTTATCTTCTGAATTCTTGCTCCAAACAGACAACAAACAATGTATGTATAGTGAATAGTTCGTGACATTTTAGTGATGAGCTCTAAGAAACAGACATGAATTCTGTAGTGATTCTGCATCTACTCAAAATGTCAAGCTGTATATTTTTTCATATACTAAATTTGGGTGTCTGCAGTATTGTAATTTGATAGAGAGTCACACTTTGAACCATTTCACCTCAGAATTTATCTGTTTATAGCCGGAAGGGCAGAAAATCATATTTTAACACACAGTTAACACCCTATGCCTCTGAACAGATGAATTACCTTTTGAAACTGAACTCTTAGAACATGTACAGACATGTATATAAACCGCTTCCCTGAAAAATACAGAGATCTCAATTCCTAGGGCATTTGTTTTAATTTTCTTTTGGAAATATGTATCAAAATGAACGAGACATACCTAGGAATTATGCTCAAATCTTGTTTAAATTTAGAAACAATGTTGGCATGAATATTTGATGGTTCAAACCACCGTCTTCGGTCTGAATACAACTTTGATAGGCAATTACGACCTATGCAAGAAAGCGAGCCCTCCTCATTGTAAATTCATGATATTCCATCTTGCTCCATCCAAAGCCCAGAGTTGTGGGAGGCTGTAGACAAGAGAAATAAAGAAGTAGATGAGAATTAACCATATTTTGTAGGAATGTTTAGTTAGTTTCCATTTGCCCCCGAAGGACTTGTGAAATCATCTCAATGTTGTACAAAAATATCACTATTATAGATACATGTGTATATACTTTTACTGAGCCCTTGCTTTATTCATTGAGCCCTCCAAAGTTTTCATGAAAAGTTTACAAATACATACATGTACTTTGAAATCGAACATGTAATGCAAGAACCTTTTGTGAATCATTATTGGTTGGGTATTTTGTGGTTAAAAGAACTTTGCGAATCGCACAAGTTCCATATTGTGATTCAATTATTTCATCCATTGTGCTGTACAAAATTAAGTATAGTGGATGGTATATACTGCTTTGTGCTATCATGTGACCATAATATACATGTACTACGTATATACATTTATGTATTAAAGGGATACACAGGGGAAGTGAAGCACTAATTGTATTTGTTCAAGGCTCTGCTCACATATGAAACCATAGTGTGGTGAATAGCTTCTTCAAACATGGAGTTGTGTTAAAGGAGTGTTGCTTCAAACTCTGCATGGCTAATATTGCAGTACTCATCATATCATTCCAGAAAATTTCTCCTACCAAAAACATATTGTAAACACTTGTGTCGAGAGAGGCAATTTAAACTAAAATGCCTCTTTTAAGAACATTATCTTCTGGCCAAATACACCTTAAAAGAAAAAAGACCCAACATATATATTTGAGTAAACATTCTTATACTTCCTACATCGATATTTCAGCTCATAAGGGAGCATAATTTTCTTTCAAACTTTCTTTTGATATTGGATTAAAGTGGTTAGGTTGGAATCTCTCCTCTGGTAAGCATTTCCTTGCATGTGAGGTAGACCAGATTTCCTTCAAGGGAAATCCAACCTCCAAAGAAAACTACTCTCAAAGAAAGCAGGAAATCAGAGAAGCAGAATGGTGAAAGTTTGATTGAAATCGGACAAAAAATAGAAAGTTATGAAGTTACGAAAGTTGTAATCACTATATGTAGCTGAATTTCAAATTGACTGAATTGGTAATGTCGCTGTGATATAGTGGCGCACAATATTACTGGAATTAAATTTTCCTCATAGTGTATGGTTAAGCTAGGAGCCTTTTTCTTTTTTAGAGAACCTATATTAATATTCTTTTATTATTTATTTTGAGTAGTGCCCCAAGGGAGAAGGCACTTAAGAGAAAAACAGAAATTGATGATATGTTTGTATACAAGACAGGAGAGTTGCCAATTTGTAATTCTCATACTGATCTCATATTTCAAATATTCATAACTCTCTTATTTATTAGTCCAATGTATTTAAAACTATTGTCATTCTACCTCTCTTAAGTGAAAGTTTGATTGAATCGGACAACAAAATAGGAAAGTTATAAAGTTATAAAAGTTGTTACCACTATATGTATGGGAATTTCAAATTGGCTGAATCGGAAATGCCGCTGTGATCTAGTGGCACACAACTTTCACATTTGTTCCAACACCCAATATTACTTGTACATGTTATTACATTTTTTCTCAAAGTGTATGGTTTAGGAGCCTCTTTTCTTTTTGGAGGACATATATTAATGTACATTGTACTATCCATTTATATATTTTGAGTAGTGCCCCAAGAGAGAAGGCACTTAGGAGAAAAACAGAAGTGTACGGTATGTTTGTACACGATAGACTGGAGAGTTGTCCGTGACAGTGTCACAATCCACAGACAGAATTGCCAATTTAAGATTCCCATAGCTATAGTGATCTCATATTTCAAGTATTCATAACTCTTATTATTAGTCCAAACTATATAAACTTTTGTCATTCTACCTCTCTTATTCTTCTTCTTTCATACAAATGAATTTATTACTATGCTTGGATCGCCCTTTAATATCAGGACCTATGCATACATGTATATCCTCAATATAAAATACTCATAATTCATTTTCCAACTCAGTACAGGAAGCAGGATTGACTGTTATTTTCCTGTTTAAGCTTTAATGGGTTGTGGTCTTGTGGTTCTTAATGTGCATATCATCTTTCTCATTGTATTGATTAAGTTGTCATAATGGGGGAATAGCTTTTAACAAGAATATGCATGTACCTTCGAATGAAGGCAGACGATGCTATGGTATCTCTGAGAGTTTCAGGAAAATAGGAAAGACTGTTAAGAATTTGTAAACAAATTTGTAGATCGTAAAGTACATTTAAAAAAAAAATCATGGTATGATGGTTTACAGTCACATGACTTAAGTAGCCAATTTGAGATTTCACTTGAAAGTCTTATTTACCACTTGAATAAGAAACTTGCAGACTTTCCCGTAAAAAATTATACTTCTTGTAGCTCTTTAATTGGGAGAATCGTAATCAGACATTGCTAGAACGATACCTAAATTGCTTCTGAAGGCAATCTAGCATTTCAAATGAGAAAACTGTCAGAATTTAAACTCATTGCCGGCATGTGGTGTGCGGGGGTGTTCGTCTGTAATAAGTTTTTTTTTTTATATGATTGCCAAGAAATGAAGAAAAATAGATAGTTTTGTCTGCAGGAAGCATTCCCTTGGTGTGATCATGCGGGAGGGCTGTTTTGCTCTGAGGGAGAGGGAAGGATAGTTCAATATGCAAAGGAGTAAGCAGTAAGGTGTAAACTTGATCAATTTGTTGGTTTCTTTCTAGAAAAGATTTTTAAATCACGAGATAGATAGAAGGAAAAAAGTAAGAGGGAGCAACAAAAAATATGATAATAATAAAGATATTGATTGGAGCCAGTTGCGGCCAAGATTGCTCTTATCTCTTTACTAATTTTTTGTTGTTAATTGTTCATAATGATAAAAATAGTTTTGAGTTTAGAATTGAACAAAATCATCAGAAATTTGTCAGACTTTTGTTTGGTATGATGTTGTGTGACATACAGACAGTTTTTACACTCCATGCATTAGTATTACCAGTGCTCAAAGATTGCCTGTAATAATATACATGCATTCTTAAGCCCTCCACACACTATATGATCCATTTTTGGAAGAAATTGTAAGTACATAAGATATGGACATTTGAACACATATAATCTTCCTGATTTTGGTTCTGGATAAAGAGATGAATACTGACAAAGAGAATTAGAGTATTGCATGCTTCAAAGTCAAAGTAAAGCCCAAATTGGCTTCAAATCATAGACAATCACATGACTGATCAAGCGACACTACAATCTGGAGCCGATTGGACCTTCTACAAGATAGCGTGCATGCAGTCCCCCAATATCTTGGTGTTATCATTAAAAATTGTTGAGATTCTGCATGTTTGAATGCTTATATGAAATGCTCGTAAAAATTCTTCTAAAATCTGGTTATAATCGGATCATGCAACGTGGCACGGGTATTAGAAATGTTAATCAAATACCTGTAGGAAACCTAGAATCTTTAGTGTATAAACTAGTTTCGTACAATGATAGGTTACAATAGCCATGCAATGATTAGATGGAGTCATTTTCCAAATGGCCAGACAATTATTTGCAGTCTGCGCTGGAAGTGAATGAAGGTAACCAAAGGGTCTCAGAAATCGATTGATAGACTCAAGGAAGCAGTGTAAGATTGAAAGAACGATCGAGAGGGAGGAAAGGGGCCAGGAAGGGGATGGAAGGAGGAGGAGGAGGGAGAGGGAGAGGGGTAGGGAGGCAAGGGGGGTATGGAGAAGGGAATGTAGGTTGAGGGAGGGAAGGAAGGAGGGAGGGAGGGAGGGAGGGAGGGAGGGAGGGAGGGAGGGAGGGAGGGAGGGAGGGAGGGAGGGAGGGAGGGAGGGAGGGAGGGAGGGAGGGAGGGAGGGAGGGAGGGAGGGAGGGAGGGAGGGAGGGAGGGAGGGAGGGGGGGGGGGGAGGGAGGGAGGGAGGAAGGAGGGAGGGAGGGAGGGAAGGAGGGAGAGAAGGAGAGAGGGAGAGAAGGAGGGAGGGAGGGAGAGAAGGAGGGAGGGAGGGAAGGAGGGAGGGAGGGAAGGAGGGAGGGAGGGAAGGAGGGAGGGAGAGAAGGAGGGAGGGAGAGAAGGAGGGAGGGAGAGAAGG